GAAATCAGATGTATCTAGGGGGAAGCGGGGATTCGGGCCTGGGTTTGAACTGCCTGCAGAAAAATCAAGTGCAGAAGTAACCAACTCCTGGAAATTAAGTGGTGCACATGTCAAGGGAAGAAAGCCAAGAGGAATCTGGTCTCCTGCACCCTGGCATCGTGTCCTGGGATCCTTTCCGACATTGCAAGAGACTGGGGGCGGGGGGGGGGTACTGTCATTCTAGTGGGCTAGCCCCCACCTCCTGGGGCGTTTGGTATGAGTTTCAGGCTGAATGAACTTTCAATGCACTGAAGCAATTGTTTGTAACTGGATTTTTCCTACAGGAATGCACACTAGCAATTGTTTGTAAGCAATTGCTAAAGTGCATCAAAAGTGTATTATCCGGAGTGTGTGAAAGCAGCCTCAAGTGTGGGTTAAAAGCTACCAGCAAGAACCACCACCCTGTCCATTGCTAAGGAAACTCTCCAGGAATTTAAGCATATAGTTAACAAAAAATGTGCTGTGTCTGTTGTAACCTCTGTCATTTGGCCATGACCCCTGCTCCCCTTTTATTGTGTTGAGGGCTGAGGCTGGAGTCCTGAGCATGTAATCTTGACTCTATTTGTGTGACCTTGTTTGTCATTTGGTTAATGTAGGGGTGGGGGGACAGCATCAGAAGCAGAGGGTTAGAAAATTCAGTGATGTGGCATGATAGATTTAAATGGGTGGCTATTCTCTCATGTGGACAGCAGCCCTCGAACTCTCCAGGTGCTTCTGTGTTAATGCTGTCAATCCATCTGACACGGGACAGAATGTGAATTGCTATGTGACAGACCGGGTAGTGCTTGCAAGGAATCCTTTGAAAACAACAAGCTGGGATGGAGGAAGGTAAATTGGGGCAAAGCATAGCTCTGGGGGCTTCTCCCAGCAGCCTGCCCGTGCTGTCAGCAGATAATTTAGAGTGTTGAAATACATGCAATAGTTTCAGATGGGTAGCTGTGTTGGTCTGCAGTAAAACAGCAAGGTTCAGTCCAGTAGTACCTAAAAGACCAACAAGCTTTCCAGGGTATAAACTTTCAAGAGTCAAACCTGATACTCTGAAAATCTCATTGGTCATTAAGGTGCTACAGGACTCAAATCTTGCTCTAAGTACATGGAATATCAGTGCAATAAATTAGTATATAGCTTAGTGTGTATCTTTATTAAATACTAAACACATTAATAACTGAATGCTGATTCATGCAGTAGGCAAATAGGTTTCCTAGCTGCCTCTATAAGCCACTGCCTAGAAAGTCGGAGGTCAGACAGGCACAGGCTTGTTTGTCCTCTGGGCTATATGAACCAATAGATTAAGGGTCCTCAGTTTTGTGGGACATGGGGCAGTTTAACCCCTCTTGGATCCTTGGAATTCAGTGGTCTCCTAAACTTGCTTACATCTCTTGAGACTGATTCCCCCCCCCTTATAAAAAGCCGTTGGTATCGACTCACTAGGACGGTTTAAATAAAAAAAGATGTTGATCCAGTGTTTCCCATTCCACCGTGATTTCCAGTCTGGAATTGGGATGTTTTGTAGGATTTCCCCTCTCTCCCTCCCTCAAGACTCTTTCATAAGAACCACATGTGACAGAGATCTTGCAGACCTGGCAACGTGGCACTTGGATCCCGGCTCAGCTGGGATGACAGGAGTAGCTGGGCATGTTAAAAGGGGCACAGCAAACTAAGTGTCTCAGTGGGGCTGCCAACCTCATGTCCAGGAATTTCCCACCTGGAGTTGGCAACTCTATGTCTCAGTAGGGCTCCTTGCACCCACAAGGGCTGTTCAACTTAGTCTTGCCCCAAGGGCAGGAAGGAATGGCCTTGTTCATTGGCTGCTGCCAAGGAGAGTCACACACGAGGAAGTAATGGGTGAGGCTAAGGCCAGGCAGCGTGCCCTGTATGGCACAGGCAGCTATATTGGTTCCTGGCTACTATAGGGTTGCCAGCTCTCGGTTGGGAAATTCCTGGAGATTTTGGGGGTGGAGATGGGAGTGGGTGGGATTTGAGGCAGGGAGGGACCTCAGCAGGGTATAATGCCATAGAGTCCACCTTCCAAAGCAGCCATTTTCTCCAGGGGAACTGATCTTGATCGTCTGGAGATCAGGTATAATAGCAGGAGATCCCCAGGTGCCACCTGGAGGTTGGCAACCCTGGGATACCAGCAGTTCACCAGCAATTTTCACCAGCAAGTTAAAGGACCAGTCCACCCCTGCACAACAGACCGATGTCAGTCAGCATGCTTTTTGTTGGCCTCAATCTGTGGAAGACTAACACTCTGATTCCTACTGTTTTAACCTGGGGTTTGGAATCTATTGATGTGTGGAGCCTGTGTCCGTTGAATCTCCCTCAGCTCCCTACAAAGAGGGTGGGGGGCTGCATTAGTCCCAGAAAGCTCACCTTCCTGCATCAGTTGGGTCTGAGCCTGGCAGCGGTAGACTCTGGCCCAGACATTATTTGAGTCTCCTCCATTACTTTTCAGATACACCTGTCCGGCGTAGACTGTTTCTTAGGAGGATCTGAGGGGGCTTACCTGATTAGACCAATTCAAATTCATAGTTTACTGCAAAGATCCCTGTTATTTTGAATGCGTTGATCACAGGAGAATGGTAGGAGAGTGGGTTTAAATCACAGAAAGATCACTGTGTTATGATGATGATGTGCATAAAACGGGATGTACTAAAAGGAAGGACAGGATTGCCCATTGGAAACAATGGTAAAGACTTGAAGGCCCATTGGAAATAATGGGAGACAGGAATGCCAATTGACTTGCATGGGCTCCATTGAAATACATTACAGCTGAAGAAGAGTTGCAAAGAAAATGCAGAATGGATTTTCCATTAACGTCTCTGGTCCCAAATACACTGCTCTTGGACTGAAATAACAGGCCCCAGAGTGGAATGACAGCCCCTGGGGGTAGCAGAAGTGTTCTGGGAGTGGAATGACAGCCCCTGGGGGTAGCAGATGTGTCCTGGGACTGGAATGACAGGCCCCAGAGTGGAACAAAAGCCCCTGGGAGTAGCAGGAGTGTTCTGGGACTGGATGACAGGCCCCAGAGTAGAATGACAGCCCCTGGGGGTAGCAGAAGTGTACTGGGACTGGAATAACAGATAACAGATCAATTTGATCTTCGCAGCGGGTGTCACAGTGGACGGAATTGCTGCCACGGCAGTTCCATGGTCAGACCACTACACTCTGAAGGCTCGTGTGAACGTACCACCCTGACCCTGTTTGGGCGGCGAGCGTATTTTGGCTTGCCCGCGGAGCCTAATGGACCCTATGCGGTTCCAGATGGCCCTGCGGGATCCGATGCCCCCTGGCGGCTTATTGGATGAGCTTGTCGAGGACTGGCAAACCTGTCTTTCGGCAGCCATCGATGAGATCACTCCCCGACGTCCTCTGCGCCCCCGCCTCAAACTTGCTCCATGGTACACACAGGAGTTGAGGTTGATGAAGCAGGAGCTTAGAGAGACAGTGGCGTCGCACTCATGACGGAGCGACAAGAGCATCTTATAGGACATTTATGAGATCCTATGAGATGGCAGTCAAGGCTGCCAAAAGAGAATACTATGTGGCCATGATTGCGTCTGCAAGCTCTCGCCCAGCTCAATTATTTAGAACAATTTGGATTCTTACTACTCTGCCACAGGGCAGGTCAAACAATAAGGAATTGGAGATTGGCTGTGAGGCTTTTGCAAGCTATTTTGCAGATAAAGTCCTGTCGCTCTGCCACAACCTCCCCACCACAGTTGAGACAGTAATGGAACTCGACGCTCCATGCGTGTCTTCTTGTCAAGTTTTGGATTATTTCAGTCCACTCAGCCTAGAGGAGGTTGACAAATTACTCTCAGCTGTGCGTCCAACCACTTGTAGCCTTGGTCCGTGCCCATCATGGCTAATTAAAGTGGGTCGAGATGGGTTACGAGGTGCACTATGGGAGATCATCAACAAGTCTCTTGTTGAGGGCCTGTTCCCTAGTGCACTAAAGGAAGCAGTGGTCCACCTTCTCCTGAAAAAAACATCTTTGGACCTGGCCGAATTGGCCAACTATCTGGGCAAACTGATTGAGAGGGCAGTGGCGACTCAGCTGCAGAGTTTTTTGGATGACACCTCCGCACTAGATCCCTTCCAGTCTGGTTTCCGACCAGACCATGGGACAGAGACAGTCCCGGTTGCCCTCACAGATGACCTTTGGAGGCACCTGGATCGAGGCGGTAAGGCAGTGTTGTGGTTGTTAGACCTGTCGGTGGCATTTGACACGGTCGACCATCAACTACTGACCCACCGCCTCACCGACACTGGGATTCAGGGGTTTGCCTTGCAGTGGCTCTCCTCGTTCCTTCAGGATCGGGGACAAAGGGTGGCATTGGGGGAACAGCTGTCCCGAAGGCATCCGCTTATTTGCGGAGTGCCACAAGTGGCAGTACTCTCCCCGATGTTATTTAACATCTACATGTGCCCCCTTGCCCAGAGGTATGGGTTGGGTTGTCACCAGTATGCGGATGACACCCAGCTCTATCTGTTGTTGGGCGGTCAGTCAGACTCTAGTCCGGAAGACCTGGACCTGGTGTTGAACGCCGTGGCTGGTTGGCTTAGACTGAGTGAATTGAAATTGAATCCAACAAAGACAGAGGTCCTGTGCCTGAGTCGAAGTGGGCCAAGACCTTTGATGGGGCACCATTCGTGCCAGCGCCGAAGGTTAGGAATTTGGGTGTGCTCCTGGATGCCTCCTTAACAATGGAGGCCCAGGTAGCAGCCACTGCGAAGTCTGCCTTTTACCATCTGCGGCTGATTAAGCAGTTGGTTCCCTTCCTTGAATGCAATGACCTGGCAACAGTGATCCACGCAATGGTCACCTCGAGATTGGATTACTGCAATGCTCTCTACATGGGGCTGCCCTTGTCCCAAATCCAGAAGTTGCAGCTGGTGCAGAATGCAGCGGCGAGGCTGTTGTGTCTCCCTATGCGGGAGCACATCCAGCCTGCCCTAAAAGCACTGCACTGACTGCCTATAGCATACTGGATTCGGTTCAAGGTACTGGTTCTTACCTTTAAAGCCCTATATGGTCAGGGACTTACTTACCTAAGGGGCTGCCTTTCCCCACATCCCACCCTTAGAACACATCTGCTACCCCCAGGGGCTGTCATTCCACAGTGGAGCCTGTCATTCCATGCCTAGAAAACTCCTGCTACCCCCAGGGGCTGTCATTCCAGTCCCAGACCACTCCTTCTACCCCCCAGGGGCTGTCATTCCACAGTGGGGCCTGTCATTCCACTCCTAGAAAACTCCTTCTACCCCCAGGGGCTGCCATTCCACTGTGGGGCCTGTCATTCCAGTCCCAGACCACTCCTTCTACATCCAGGGGCTGTCATTCCACAGTGGGGCCTGTCATTCCACTCCAAGAAGACTGTGAAGTGATGCTTTCAAACTCTTCATGCTTTTCCTGCTGTTGCTTTCAGAAATATTTTTAATGCGCAAGTCACTACGTTTCAGCTCTGAAAACCTTCACGCAACCACCTGGAGGCTGCTGCGCATCGCCACCTTGAGGCTGGTCTTAGGTACAGCAAGAGGGAACAAGGCGGCTGTGGCGGGGGAACTGCTTGTCCCACAACGTAACGTCATCGGCAGTCGCGGTTGCCAGGGTAGCAGGAGCGGGCCTTGCCGGCGCTTCCTTGGGAGGAAGAAGATGGCGGTAGAAGAAGGAGAACGGTTTCTGAGAAGAGTGATGGTGCTGCAGGTGGGAGAACAGAATAAGATGGCAGGCCGGGGGAACGGAGTGGACGGAAATCAATGGGAGTGCGATTGTCCCGCTTCTTTCTGGTCATTTTATTCCCGGTCTTTCTTTAGGGAGCGTGTGTGTGCATTTTTTTCTCACAACGACCCTATGAAGTAGGTTAGACATTAGCCCCCCCCCTTTTTTGAGGGGGGGCAGCTGCACTACCATGCAAACTTATTTTCAGTTTGTATTTAACTTCAGTCTCAAGGTCGTTTTTGCATGACTGCTGCTAAATCAAGTAGCTCTTTTTTATTTAATTTTGTATTAATCTTTCTTGACTTTCAGTTTTCCAAGCTACTGTGGTTTTTCCTCAATTTTCAGGGTTGCCAACCCTGGCTTGAGACATTCCTGGAGATTTTGGGTCAGCGTTGGGGGAGGGGAGGGAGCTCAGTGGGGAATAGGAGGCCATAGAGTATATACTTCAGAGCTGCCATTTCCACTAAGGGAACTGAGCACTGTACTTTGGAGATGAGTTGGAATTTCAGAACTCCAAGCACTGCTTGAAGGACACGAGCCTGTTATTACTGTCTGTGCCTCCCGGTTTTGTGTTATCTAAACATCTGACAAAGATTTCCCTCTCTTTCCTTTTCATCCAAATCATTGATGAAAATGTTGCAGAGTAGTGAGCCTTGCGGTTCCCAGCTTGAAACCTGTATTCCAGAATACAGACTGATGAAGTGCTAGGGATAAGCACTGTTTGGGTATGGTTCTCCAGTCACCATAGAAACAACCTGATGGACAAGGCCTGCATGGTTTGTTAGCTGTAATATCATGTGGCACTTTATCACATGCATTTTTGAAATTAGGATATATTATGTTCATAGTGCTCTCACCGGATAGCTTGGGCTAGCCTGATCTCATTAGATCTTGGAAGCTAAGCAGGGTTGGCCCTGGATAGTACTTTGATGGGAGACTGCTAAGGAAGTCCTGGGTTGTTATGCGGAGGCAAGGCAATACCAAACCACATCTAAACAAACATTTCTTGCCTAGGAAACTTTACAGGGTCACCATAAGTTGGCTTTGACATGACAGCAAAAAAAATGTTCATAGTATTTCCACAGGTTCCTAGACAATTTTTTTAAATTTTGAATCTGTACATCTTTGCTGCTACTCCTCCAGGCTTGGAGATAAAGTGATAGACCTGCTTAAATTATGCTTGTCAGGTGGCTGTTAAAGGCACAGCAGAGCCAGAGGGGAAAAAGTTTTCTTTGCTGATCTATGTGGCCTTATTTTGTGGCAAGGAGTGAGGCTGTCCTCTTATTTGATTCTCATTCTTGATTTTAAAGAATTCTTTCTTCCTAGGCATGTGTTCGTGGTCACCTCATCAGGAAAAAGTTTCAAAGCTTAACGGGAGAGTATGAGAGCATTGTAAAGCAGATTGAAGGGAATCTGGATCAGCTGCAATGGAGTCAACATGCCATACCAAAGCCTGTGTTTCTCTCAAAGGTAACTGCACTGCTGCTTTTGGTGGTGGCAGCAGTGCATTTAATGTCTCAGGCTTTGAATTGCACCAGAAAAGAAAATAGGAAAAATCAGAAATGGCCCCATCAGAATAGACAGTACTAAACTCAATTGGCCAATAGCCTGGCTTGTTATTAGGAAGTTTCATATTCTATGTGTTTTTAAAATGTTTCTGTGCTGTCCTTCCACGCAAATGTGGGCCCCAAAGTGGCAAACATGAAACCATTAAAACTAATTTAGAGAGCAGGCATAGAATTTCCCAGAAGAGGTAAATTGGAAGATGGCAAGACCACAACAAAGAATTGGGAGGGGAGAGGCAACCTCTTCTTTGGAAGGGGTATTTTGGGGGTTCATTGAATCATAGAGTTGGAAGGGGCCATACAGACCATCTAGTCCAACCTCCTGTCCAATGCAGGACCAGCCTAAAGCATCTCTGACAAATATTCGTCCAGCCTCTTCTTGAAAGCTGTCAGTGAAGGGGAGCTAACCACCTCCCTAGGCAGCTGATTCCACCTTTGAATCACTCTGACTGTGAAAAACTTTTTCCTAATATCCATACTTTTCTGCATGTAATTTAAACCCGTTGCTTCGGGTCCTATCCTCTGCTGCCAACTGGAACAGCTCCTGGCCCTCCTCCAAATGACAGCCTTTCAAATATTTAAAGAGAGCAATCATGTCCCCCATCAATCTCCTCTTCTCCAAACTAAACATTCCCAAGGCCCTCAGCCTTTCCTTGTAGGGCTCAGTCTCCAGACCCCTGATCATCCTTGTCACTCTCTTCTGCACCCTCTCGATTTTGTCCGCATCCTTTTTGAAGTGAGGCCTCCAGAACTGCACACAGTACTCCAGGTGTGGTCTGACCAAGGCAGTATACATAGGGGCTAAGACCTCCTGTGATTTCGATGCTATGGCCCTGTTAATACAACCCAAGACTGAATTTGCCTTTTTTGCCACTGCGTCACACTGACTGTTCATATTTAGTGTACAGTCCACCCTTACCCCAAGATCTCTTTCACATACACTACTCCCCAGAAACGTATCCCCCATCCAGTATTTGTGCTTGACAATTTTGTGGCCCAGATGTAATACTGTGCATTTATCTTTGTTGAATTACATCCTGTTCGCAACTGCCCACTTCTCCAGAGTATTCAGGTCTTGTTGAATTTTAACTCTATCTTCTTGGGTGTTTGCTACTCCTCCCAATTTGGTATCATCAGCAAATTTAATGAGTAGCACTTCTACCCCTTCATCCAGACCATTGATAAAAATATTGAAAAGTACCAGGCCCAAAACCGATCCCTGCAGCACCCCACTGGACACCTCCCTCCAATCTGATGAAACGCCATTGACCACCAGTCTTTGGGTGTGGTCCTCTAACCAGTTCCCTATCCACCAAACTGTCCTATAGTCCAGTCCACAGTCTTCCAGTTTGCCCATCAGAATGTCATGGGGAACCTTATCAAAAGCTTTACTGAAATCCAGGTAAATCACATCAACAGAGTTCCCACGATCCAGTAAGCTCGTCACACGATCAAAGAAGGAAACCAGGTTTGTCTGACAAGATCTGTTGAGGACAAAACCATGCTGACTTCCCCGGATCACTAAGTGGTCCTTCAGATGCTTACAGATCGATCCCTTTAAAAACTGCTCTAATATCTTCCCAGCAATAGAAGTCAGACTGACTGGACTGTAGTTTCCTGTGTCATCCCTTTCTTAAAGATTGGGATAACATTTGCTCTTCTCCAATCTTGTGGCACATCCCCAGTCCTCCAGGAGGCATTGAAGATGATGGACAGAGGCTCTGCAAGTTTCATTAGACAGTTCTTTGAGCACTCTTGGGTGTACACCATCTGGCCCAGAGGATTTGTATTCATCCAGTGCAGCCAGGTGCCTCTCCACAACCTCCCTGTCCATGTCAACTGGACACTCAGGTGTCCTGTTATGTCCTATACCATCTCTAGATGGGCTCAAGCTCTTCTGGGAGAAAACAGAGACAAAAAAGTCATTAAGCCTGTCTGCTTTTTCTCTGTCCTCCACCAGAGTTTCTCCTTCTACTCCCAAAAGCTGTCCAGTTGCCTCTTTTACCTTGCATTTGCTTCTCACATACCTGTAGAAGTTTTTTCTTATTGTAGTAAGCCCCCCTGGCCAGACCCAACTCATTACTCAGGTTTGGTTTCCCTGATGGCTGATCTGCAGTACCTAGTAACTCTCGTATACTCCTCTAGAGGTCTGACCTTCCGTCCATTTCCTGAACATTTCCTTTTTCTCCCTTAGCTTATTCTGAAGCTCTCGGTTCATCCGCATTGGTTTCTTGGAGTCCTTACCATGTTTCCATCTTGCTGCAATAGTGAGGGCTTGAGCTCGCGAAAGCTCATGTTTGAGAAGAGCCCACCCTTCACTCGCTCCTTTCCCTTCCAGCACACTCCCCCAGGGAATGTCTCCCATCAAGCCTCTGAGTTCATCGAAGTTGGCCCTACGAAAATCTAACCTACAAGTCTGACTACATCCTTGGCCCCCCACAGGAACTGGAATTCAAGGAGGACATGGTCACTTCCCCTTAAGGTCCCCACCACCTTCACCCCGTCTACCAATTCTTCCCTGTTGGGTAATATTAAGTCCAGTATGGCCGAGCCACTTGTAGCTTGGGGCTCTTTAATTCTGGATTCACTTCTTGTGGCAGTTATCTCACAGCATACTATTTGGGAATTAATGGGTTTTTTGAGCTTAGATTGGGAGAATTGTCTCTCCTCAAAGAGAAGGATAGCCACGAGGGCCTAGCATAGGAAAATCAGCAGAGTTTCTAGGGCTGCTTAAACAGATTTGCTGCATCCAAAACCTTTGTGAGCAGGAGTTTGCGTTGACAGATGATTCTCACAATGTCAGCCCTTGCTTCTGGAAGTTATCGTCACAATGTATTTGTGGGTCTCGAAGGGACCTGGGTCTCCTTGTTGGTCTCTCTTCTAGAGAGAGGATGTGTAAAAGACTGGAATGTTGCACCTTCTGGGCCAGGCAGGCCTTATCATATCTTTCTGCCTGTCATACCCTTGTTCCTGCTTGATGTCTTCAATCTAGTCTGCTCAGAAGCCACGTCAAGGAAGGGAATTAAGTGGCCAACAGGCTGGATTCAACAAGAACGGCAGTGCCCACAATGAGGAGCAGAAGCTTAGTCGTCAAGAAATGTTACAAACCAAAACTGACTGTGACTGTGAGATGCCGCTTCCAAGCCAGCTTCTGGATGAAACAGCTGCAGAAGTAGGGGCTGGTGATGTGAGGCCTGATCCAGAGCATCCTGCAGCTGAGCTCCTTGGGAATGCCTGTGTCCTGCCAGGAGAGAATGCAGAAGGCAAAGACTGCAGCAATGTGTCATCCGAATGGGGCAGCCTTATCCTGGAGATGGAGTCTCCCAGTCTGAGCCAAGGTAAGTCATCCGGAACCCCCCCTCCCTTGGACATTTGAGCTCTCCTGCCCCTGCAGAATCTTACCTTTTGTGCACTCTGCAGTTACTGTTTTAGTTCATTTTTATAGTATCTGCATATTGTTTTACACAAAGTAGCATCAATACACACACCCAACAGGTCCCTGCCCTAAGAACTTACACACCAAATTTCGTCAGTGTGTGGAGGCAACAGAGGGAAGAGAAAGTCAAGGGAACAGGATATGGCTTCTTAATGTTGATTTCTCATTTGTGCAGAACTCCGTTTCCAAGGGGTGCCAGAGATGCCCCAAGCTCTGCCTGACCTTCAGTGCTACCGAAAACACCTGACCATGGAACTGCTGTGGCTGCAACAAGCCATTGTCAGCCGTAAGAGTGTAAGAAGCATTCTGAAGTTTCCAGCATTCCCATAAATGTCCAGAGCCCAAATCACTGGTGGGCAGGTGCTCTACAGTGCCCTCTGCTCTAGTTTACTTCTTTTGCAAGGAGAGTTGTGCTGTGAGCAAGAGATGCATTAGGATGCAAGTCTTGCTTTGAGTGGGGAGCCAGTGGGCCTGGGAGGATTCCTCTGTGTTCCTTTAAATCTTTGGGTGTTAAACCACTAGTTGTTACAGTGGACAGATGCTAAAGATTGACAAAGGGTGGGGTTGAGGAGGAGATGTTACCATGTGTGTGCATGCGTGCACTTGACTTTTTTTGGAACTGAGCGGATAAATACGAAGCATCATGCAATTTCAATATTTATTTTGGAAGCAACTGCCTCAAAATGTACCTGTTTTGACTGCCTCAGTGTTTGATTTTCCTTTACTCTATCTCTTCCCTTCTCCCATCCTAGTATCTGAACCTGAAAGAGAGACTTGTGGAACCATGAGTAACTGAATGCTATTTTGTGGACATGTCCCAAGGTCCTTGTGTACACAGACTTGGAAGTTCACCCTCCATTGCCAACTGCTGGAGAAAAGAGTGTTGGAAGGCACTACCTCCATGGCAGCAGGCAGGTCCTTGTAGCTCTTTGGAGTTAACCACTCCACGTGGCCTCCCTGGATCCTGATTGCACTCAACTTCAACACTTGCAAGAGCAGCGACAAAGCTTACCTGTGGACTTCTCAAACCAAAGATGTGCTTATGGTTGGGTGTTTTATGAACAGGTACCTTATGGAGGTCTGGCTTACATCCTAATGAACAGGACTGGAACTGCACTGGAAGAAAGCTATGTCCCCCTCCCTCCTCCTTCTGCAGCCTTCTGCGCTTCCCAAAACTGTTCTCCTGCAGATCAGTGGACCCCCAGGAACACTATTGGAAGGTGTAGGAGGGGGAAATCGGCAGAAATAAGCCTCTTCTCCAACACCAACAGATATGCCATTCTGCTTGGAATTACCCTGATGGAACGGCAGCTGGGTAGCCAAAGCAATATTTCTACAGGCTGATTTTATGCAGCCTTTGATGGAGGGAAATCCAAGCTGAAATTTCATGTTTAGCAACTTTTGCTGAACTAGCTGGTATTTGGTCCCAGTGTGTTGACTGTTATTGCATATGGGGTACTGGAAAGGAGCCACATCTCTGTAAGCCTCAAGTTGTAGACAAGAGCTTTGTGGTTGCCAGTGTCCCGACTGCTGAGCGTCCAGCTTAGAAACTTTTGGAATTTCACTGTGAATTCTCCCTCTGAACCCCAGCTCTTCTCTGGACTTTCCACGGGTGGAATAGTCTTTCTTTTTGCACCTGCAGAGGTAGATATGTGTTTAAATCAGCCCTGTTGTGCAGTTGTCTGCTCTGCCTTTCTTTCTGTCATCAGCCACCATTACTGGTACAATATTTGGACTATGGAGTTGGTAGTAAAAAATGTCAACACATTTTTTTTTCTTATTTCTGTTTTGAATTAAAAAAAAATTCACTGTGTGGAGTATGCTCTTTGTATCTTCAAGTGCATTGCCCCAGCATGAAAATTAGAAGAGGTCTTCATGCATTAATTTGGTCAACCTACACCTTGCCATCAAGTCCTTTCGAGATTTCTATTATTTTCCCTCCTGTCTGTTGAGTTGCTGCAGCTTTGCGGAACTCCCTACCACCAGATGTCTACCTGGCCAGCTTGTTCTAGATTTTGGAAAACGGATGAATATTTCCCTGTATTGTGAAAGCTTGTAATTGAATTGGTACTGATGCATATCCAAATGTATCAGTGGGAAATCTGCCCCAAAGGAGCCTTGTCTTGCTGCTCAGTAAATACATGACATAAAAACACCCACATCTATATATCTAATAGCCAAGTTGCCCCCTCTGTGCGGATATCTAAATCCACACATCAGGGGCACATAGGGGGCAGAGAGATTTTCCTTCACACTTGGGGCAGTCCCCTAAAGTAAAAAAGCATTCCCTGCACATGCGCAGAGAACGCACTTACCCCTGGGATCTGTGGCAGAGCCATGCAGGGCTCACTGCGGTTGGTGCTGGCGGTGGCAGCGGGGGTGGAAAAGCCTTGGCAGTGGGGGTGGCGGCTAGGAGCCACAGCCACCACTGTCGGAGACCGGGGGGTGTGGGGGAGAAGCCTGGCAGGCCCCGCAACCAGGAGCTGAGCCCGTTGTTGCCGCAGTGGGGGGGGGAGAGAAGCCTGGTGGGCCTGACAGCTCACAGCCGCACAGGGCTTGCCACTGTTGTTGTTGTGGGTGGCAGTGGCGGAGAGAAGCCTTGGCAGCCCAGGAGCCGTGGGGAATACACCAACCCCACGAGTATCACGAGTCCTGCTTCGTGTGTGAACTAATTTCCAGGGATGAATAGAGTTTCTGTGTGTAGAGAAATGCTCCCACACACATACATGCATTGTGTCACAGTCTTTAAACATTCAAAGGGATCTTAGAGTTTGCCTGAAGCAATCCAATCAGCCATGTGTCCCTTGGGCAACTCTGCAAAGAAGACCACAAAAGTTTCTAGGCCTCAAAAATGTGTTAGACAACCTGCGCATTACACACATTCCTTTTCCTGTCCTAAAAGAGATCAAATGAGCGAACCATGACTTGATATCAAACCACCTCAAGAGAACACTTTCTCTGCAGATGTGAGTGGTTTTCAAGAAAGCTTAGCTCAGGGCTTTGTGTAACCCCAGCTGCTGACACTGCTTGAGTGCTGCCAACCAGGGAGCTGCATAGGGCAAGATATGGGGATTTGCTTAGTGATGCTGAGGATTTGTTAGCAGTTAGATGAGAATCGGCCAGCTCTTCTATCATAGGCTAGCCAGCTGTTGCTGCTGCTTTTGGATTGGTCCTGGTAGAGGTGAGCCATTCCTATGCTCTCTGGTGACTCCTGGCTTTTGTGGAGCAGTGAGAACTGGAGCTGTTGGTTCAGGATGTCTTAGTGACCACAAATCTGCCGTAGTCTTGAGACCATCTAAGGCCCTGCTCTGTGTGCTGTCAGAAATAGGGAGGGGCCATGGCTCAACTGTAGAGCATTTGCTTGGTACTTAGAAGGTCCCAGGTTCAGTCCACAGCAACTCCAGTTACAGGGTCTGGCAGTATGTGGTCTGATGTGAAAGTGACAATACAAACTGTTAAGGACAGTGATTTTTCAATTGTAATGCCTTGGCTCACAAAGAACTCTTTGTTGTTTTGGCTGTGGTAGACTACCCCACCCCCCTGGAATATGCTATGGACTGTTGCTTAAAAAACCCAAAAACCTTTATTTTTCAGTTTTTTGTAATCATTTCCAGATCTAAACAATCAACAATTCTATAATGACATAATGAGTGGGTGGATGTAAAGCAAACAGTAGAAAAATTCCTTGTGATTCTTAAAGTTAACAATAATGAGCGATAGAATAAAGTGAACCGTTGCTCAATATAGTTGTGACTTTTTAAAGTCCACCGTTAGTGTATAATTTGTGTATTATTTCTTCTGTAGCATAACTGTAAAGCAGTTAAAGCCAAAAAACTGTAGATGGTTGGAATAGGTGTTTCTGAATTGTTTCTTTTGGACGCATAGTCCAAGAAAGGAAGCCATTGTTCCAAGAACATGGGTTTTCCATGGTCTGTAGCTGATGGGAAACTTTTTCCATAATAAGTCCCATATTTTCTGGTACCACTGTAGAACCAAAGGTAGAACTTTATTTTTCAATTTAGAAGCAAGTAAAGCTTTGGCTACTGCAAGTAAAAATTAAGCTTTTTCTTATCGATGGGATTTCTGAGTCTTCCCATAAATTCAGGAGAATTATTTCAGGACGCATAGGAATTAAATAACCTGTGATATATTTAATATGTAACATAATTTTTTCCCAGGAGACCCTTACCGTAGGACATTCCCACTGGCAATGAATGTATGAGCCCGTTTTGCCACAGTGTCTCCAGCATAAGGGTTGGTTATTAAGGTTAATATAATTTAATTTGGGGGGTATCGTATACCATCTTGCCAGAATTTTATAGGGTAGTATTTCAATGTTGATTGTTTTTGATAAGAAGGTTTTTGAGTTCCCAATTTTCCTCCACTGGGAATTTGTAAAATGGAACATACAATCTTTTTGCCATTTTCTCTGATATGGTATAGTTGATTTTCCTTTGCATATTTTAGAGATTACTCCTTTACCATTTTTTGTGTCTTCTATTGTTCAGATTCGGTGAGCCTTCTATTTACGCCTATTTTGACCTCTGGATTTTCTGACAGATTTTGTATTTGTAACCAGAGGAGTTGAAGTTCAGAGCCTTTCTCAAGTATATGTCCTTCATTAAATATATTTTATTGACGAATCTCCATGATTTAAAAGAATCTATATTATTTCCTGGTTCAAACCATGACTGTCCCAGAAAAGATGATATGGGTGAGATTCCTGGGGTCAATTTTCTTCTTTTTGTCCTAAATTTGCAAGGTGGTGTTTAAATATTTAATTTTATTTGGGGTGGTCATTCCTTTTGTTTGTGCCAAATGATCTCTTATTTTTGCAGTTCCATTATATGTTTGTTCTATTTGTGCCCAATCGATAGTTTCTGATGAATTTAGAAAAGTTACCTAATTTATGAGCTGGGCGGCTTCAAAATAAGTTTTTAGATGTGATATGTCAAGTCCTCACAATTTGGTAGGTCATTTCATTACATCATGTAATATTCTTTGTTTTTTATAGCCTCAGATAAAATCATTGAGGTTCTTCTGCAGTTCTCTCAGATCTCTATCTGGGAGTGTGATATGAAACACTTGAAAGTAAAATAAGAATTGTGGGGAAATTATAGATTTGATAATGTTTATCTTTTTGAGCCAGGTCAGATTTAATTTATCCCATTCTTTTAAAGAAACTGTTGCTTTTTAATCATTTTTTAACTTTTTAAAATAAATGTAAAATGTACATTGAATATAGTATTCATCTTGTTTGACATGATTTGTGTTGCTTGGATTCGTACTGAGTGATTGCCTTAAGCGAATGGCACTGGGCTGCAGAAGACATTCCTGGCTGAGCCCATCTTTTGGCTGTTTTCATTTGACTGCATAACTTTGTCACAGTTTGGTCCTGGTGCCTCCTTCACCATTCCCAAAAGTTTGGGTTCAAGGATCCTTTGCAGAGCAAACAGATTGGCACATCTGGATGCACATGGTTAGGTCCTTATGGAAAAGGTCATCTGACTGTGTTGGGAAAATTCCCAAGATAACAAGTAAAGGGGAGGCTGAAATGGCATTTACTCATGCTGCTAATTTCTAGGAAGGTGTCCTGCAGTGGCTCCTATACGTGCAGTTAATTACATGTACTATTTAATGAATAGAACATTTGTTACAGTTTGCTTGCTCCTGCAATTTATGAAGATGAAAAATTATTTTCTTGCTATTGGTAAAATGAGAACAATAATAAAGTATTTTGCAGGACTGTTGGAGTAGGCAAGTGAAATAAAGATTGCGCATCCCTTTTCTAATGTAATGGTAACTAGATGCTACATTCCTGAGCAGTATGGAATGGTAACAACAAAATGGTGTTAGTAAATTTTCTCAGAAAAGGAGAGTTGATGGGGCTCAAGGTTGACAGCAACTGTACTTTAAATGCTAGACCAGTGATGTGACTTAGAGAAAAAATGTTTTTGCACATGCACAGTTGTGTCACATGATGCGCAACTGCATAGCACCACTGAAAAATAGGTTCTGAGACTTAGCCTCAAAGTATTGCAGGTTTAGCCATAAAAGAGCTATGAGCCGGTGAAAGGTGGCTCTCCCTGTTGAAAAGACTCTCACCTTCCTGGCCAACCCATGAAACTCCCCACCCCCACCCCCGCGCACAGAGTTTGATGCCATGGAAACACCAGAGTTGCTCTCAGAATAAAGCTTGGCAAAGGGAGAGGGATCAGGTGGCAGGGTTTGCAGCTTAACTGGGGAAGTTTACTGTAGTTTTTTTCTTTTTGCACTTTGCCAAGCACCTTCTCTGGATGCACAGCCTGGTTCCTGCAGACTGAGTTGGAAATGCGCTCTGAGACCGTTGCTGTGGCTCCTCCTGCCAGGAATGTGGTGATCTATCGGAATGGAGACCCTTTCTTTCATGGCAGGAAGTTTGTGATCAGCCAGCGCCGCTTCCTGACCTTTGAGGCTTTTTTGAACGAGGTGACCAGCACGATCCAGGCCCCCATAGCTGTCAGGAGCATCTATACTCCCAGGCAGGGCCATCGAGTCACTGAGCTGACAGAACTACATAATGGGTGCCAGTATGTCGCAGCAGGCTTTGAGCGGTTCAAGAGGCTTGAGTAAATAGACCTTTCTTTTTCATAAACAATTTTATTTTATTTTACCATTTACAAATACATACACATATAAACCAACATCAAAAATTCCACAACAAAAGTAATAATTGAAAATACAACAACCGGATCTATACACTAGATCTATTAGAATCCAAGCAGCATTCTATAAAAACTGCTCTGTATATATCTATTATGCTAACTGAGGAAACCTTAAATAGAAATTAAAGTTTTAAGATTCTTTGGAACAACCTCCATTTTTGCCAAGTAGTCTAGTATGATGCCCCACACCACAGAAATTCAGAGCTAGAAGCATGCGATTCAAATTTGGTCACCTCATATGTGATTTTTTTCATTCAGATATATATCCCAACGCTTACAATGCCACAGTACAATCATGAGTAGACCTTCGAGGGCCAAGGAGGGTAACAAGGGTGGATTGGACTGCAAGCTTTTACCTACATGTTCTGCCTTAGAAAGAATCTCCCAGAGGTGCATTTGCAACACTAGGACAATCCATAGGATGGCTGCTTATGTTTGCATCCCAGGAAAGGGC